TTGAAGGAAATCAGCAGCTATCTTATCTTTACTTATGATACCATCATATAGACCTCTCGTACGCAGAATTAGACCATCAACTAGAGAGATACGAGTGTGGCCAGTAGGTGCATCTGAGCAACTTCAAGATTGCTTTCGGAGCACCGAGTGGTCGCTTTTTGTGGAGAATAATGTGGACACATACGCTTCAACAGTACTGTTCTACGTTAAAAGCTGCATTGATGTTGTCACTACCACCAAACAAATACGGGTGTTCCCTAACAACAAGCCCTGGCTAAACAGGGATGTGTATCTTCTGTTAAAGGCAAGAAATGCTGCTTTTCACTCTGGTGATGCGCAACAGTATAGAGAAGCCAGAGCCAAATTGAAAAAGGGCATTAGGAACGCCAAAGCTATGTACTGCCGGAGGATCGAAAAACATTTTGAGAGCTCCGACCCTCGTCGAGTATGGCAAGGCCTGCGACAAATTACAGGGCAAAATATTAAAAACGAACTGGCTAGCAGCAGTGCGCACCTGGCTGATCAACTGAATCAATTTTTTAGTCGCTTTGAGGAGGGAACTGGAACTACCGTCACTACAGCATTGGCTACCAGCACATCATCAGAAACTACTACTGATAGACAACCATTTTTATTACAGACCTGTGACGTACAACATGCCTTTCGGAGCATTAACATTAGGAAGGCAGCTGGACCGGATGGAATCATGGGACGGGTTATTAGGGACTGCGCTGCAGAATTAGCTGGTGTATTTACGGACATTTTTAAACCTATCCCTGTTGCAGGGTTCTGTCCCTACCTGCCTGAAGACATCGATTATAGTGCCAGTCCCCAAGCAGTCAGTGGTGGTATCTCTCAATGACTATAGACCAATAGCCCTAACATCTGTCGTTATGAAATGTTTTGAGAGATTGGTGCTAGAACATATTAAGGCTGGTCTTCCATCCACTCTAGACCCGTTCCAGTTTGCATACAGAAGAAACAGATCTACTGATGATGCTATTTCCATCGCTGTCCATACTGTATTGAGTCATCTAGAACGACAGGGAACCTACGCAAGGCTGTTGTTTGTGGACTACAGTTCTGCCTTCAATACAATTCTGCCAGACAGGTTATTTCTTAAAATGACCAATTTGGGTATACATCAGAAGATCTGTCTGTGGGTAAGGAATTTCCTGACTGATAGGCCCGCAGACAGTGAGAATGGGACCTTACTATTCTTCTACTCTAGTATTAAGCACAGGAGCCCCTCAGGGATGTGTGCTAAGTCCCTTTCTCTATTCCCTGTACACATTTGATTGCACCCCACTGTATAAGTCCAACACAATCATCAAATTTGCGGATGATACAACAGTGGTGGGGCTCATTAGTGAGAACGATGAGACTGCTTATAGGAAAGAAGTACAGGGGTTAATTCAATGGTGTAAGGAAAACAATCTTATGCTTAACACCAAAAAAACCAAAGAACTCATAATTGACTTTAGGAGAAAGAAAAGTGTATTTTTACCATTGCACATAAATGGCGAGGAGGTGGAGAGGGTTGGTAGTTTTAAATACCTGGGCATTTATATCTCTGAGGACCTCTCATGGACTGCAAATATTAATATGGTTTTGAGGAAAGGTGCAGGGGAGGTTGTATTCCTGAGAATGCTCAGGGGACTGAATCTATCTCAGCACCTACTTCTGTCCTATTATCACAGTACCATCGAGAGTGTCTTAACCTATAGTATATTTATCGTGTATGGGAGCAGCTCTGAAATGGATAAAAAAGCTTTACAGAGAATAATTAAAATTGCCCAGAATGTTATTGGGGCTCCAACTACCAACCCTGGATGAGATCTTCACGTCTCGCACTTTGAAGAAGTCACACAATATCCTGAGAGATCCCACCCATCCCGCTCACAACTTCTTTGAACTGTTTGCCTTCGGGCAGAAGATATAGGACAATGAAAACACGAACCACACGCCTTCTGAATAGTTTCTATCCAAGAGCTCTGATTGCAGTAAATAATGATCTCAGGGCCAGTTGCAAGAAATAGCAAGCAGGGAGTAGGAAGGAATGAGATAGGTTTTAGGTTATGTTATGCCTTTAATAGGTTATGTTATATTCTGGATTATGTTATGTTTTTATAGATTATGTCTGAATAGGATGAGAGTGTTGGAGATACGTGCAAATGTGTATGTGAACCCGGTCTTTGGGTGGGTGTTTGATTTTCGTTGTTGTGTATACTGTGTATATATGGACAATGACAATAAATTTATCTATCTATCTATCTATCTATCTATCTATCTATCTAAAGAAAAGCAGTCAGGCAAATGGAAGTGTGGATGAGCCTATATCCTCTGGATCATTCCCAGGTACCAAAAGACTGAATGTCTTGAAGGAGCTGGATAGTCATACTAAAAAAAGCCATTACACGAGGTAGCTTTATACATGCAGCGGAGTCAAGTGGTGAAGCTTTTCCCAGACTGTTAACACTTTCAAGCTGCATGTTCTCCCTGACCCCTGGATCTAAATTGACACTTTGTGTTTCCTGGTGTTCTGCCTGACATTCTGCCTGCTAGGCTGTTTTTCTGGTGCTGGGAGAGTTGTATTTTTCATTGATGAGTAGGCAGTGACAAAGGACCCACCCACTGCAGTCTGAAATGGTACAGTCCAGGTAAAGGTTTACCACTTGTAAAGGTACGAGGGGGGACGTGGGTGGCACTGAGGTCAAAACCACTAAGCCTCTTGGGCTTGCCGATCGTAAAGTTGGCAGTTTGAATCCGTGCAACGGGGTGAGCTCCCGTTGCTCTGTCCCAGCTCCTGCCAACCTAGCAGTTCGAAAGCATACCAGTGCGAGTAGATAAATAGGTACCGCTGTGATGGGAGGTAGATGCCATTTCTGTGTGCTATGGCTTCCATCACAGTGTTCTTGTAGTGCCAGAAGCGGTTTTGTCATGCTGGCCACATGACCTGGAAAAGGCTGTCTGCGGACAAATGCCAGCTCCCTCGGCCTGAATCTCATATTTGAATTTGACTGGACTTAACCATCAAGGGGTCCTTACCACTTGTTTCTGCTAAATGTGTAAACTGGTTCTAAGAGAGGCTGAAACAACAACAAAACACACTCAAAATAATAACCGCAGCATGTCTATTTTAAAATATTGATTCTGGGAATTCAAAATTGATGTGTCAGCTTGGCTCCTTTCTTCCATTTGCTTTAATGAAGCTACCACATGTTGTCCTTCAAATAAATTACATTGTTCTCCAGATTGAATTTAATTGCATTTTCTACTAAGAACATGTAGGTTTTTACACACTGGTGTTGAAGATCAAGTCCTCATTGCGTTCAAAGGCAGCATTCCTCCCTTGCCTTAAATGGAACAACCACACTTGGAAGTGCTGTGATCTTCACACTAGAATTCATGCAAAACATATTTCTGCACAGATTGCATTTTGCTGGCTTTTGGCCTTCACTATTATTTATACAGTAGTGTCATTGCCTCATTGTCTTTGGCTCTGTATAAAGGGAAAGTAAAAATGAATTCTCCCTGCGGAGAACATGGAGTCTATAGATCAAATCTGAGCCTCATAAAACAAGAGGCTTTTCGAATGTGCTAATGAGGATTTGTATAATCTCTACAAAGGCACACTAAAAAGATCAGTTAAGAATTGTCTGTCTCAAGTAAACCCAAATTTAGTCAGCCATTTATTACTCTCATGTGCTTTCCCCAACGATGTCATTGGGCCCATCAAAGAAATAAAGGCATATTAAGAGCCAGTTCACAGTTTATGTGGCAGACCAGGTTGCCACTTCTGTGCTGTGCATGTCCTGGTTAATGTTGTAATGCCTGAATGAGAAATTGTTGCTGTAAAGACACAGGGACATGCAGTGAGGACATGCTGGCTCATCAGCTTAAGAGAGAGAGAATGGAAAAGACAGGAGATTGGTTGTTTGGTTGCATTGCCTCACCAACAAACTCTTTCTACCGTATTTTTCGCACCATAGGACGCACTTTTTCCCCTCCAAAAATGAAGGGGAAATGTGTGTGCGTCCTATGGTGCGAAGGCAGGCTTTCGCTGAAGCCTGGAGAGTGAGAGGGGTCGGTGCGCACCAACCCTCACGCTCTCCAGGCTTCGCACACCTCTCCGCAAGCAGCGCTGGGCTCCCGCTGCTTGCGGAGAGTTGCCGGCATGCCGAAGCCTGCGCGTGCTGATCTCAGCGCGTCCAGGCTTTGCGGACCTCCCCGCAAGCAGCGGGAGCCAGCGCTGGGCTCCCACAGCTTGCAGAGAGTTGCCTGTTTGGGGGCTGGGGTCAGGGGAAGCTCGAGCTTCCCCCGCCCCAGCCCCGCGCGCCTGGGGGGAAAATAATTTTTTCCCCTTTATTTCCCCCCAAAAAACTGGGTGCGCCCTATGGTCCGGTGCGCCCTAAGGTGCGAAAAATATGGTAATTTAGCCATTACTGGCTTGAACTGGGCTGGTTACTACTTTTCCACACTTGAAGAAAAACAAAGTATTTAAAATTACCTTTTCTTCTATCAAGTGGTGCTGCCAGTTTGTTTGTAATCTCCCATTTAAAATAAACAACCCCTGTGCTGTTTCAGGATCCTCAAAATGACAAGTTCACAGATGTCGTACAGCGGCGGTTCTCAATCTCCCACCACCCCAAAGACCATGTGAAAGTTGCTGATGTTTCTTGGTGGTAGCAATTGTAATTCCATATAATTCAAATTGCAATATGATAAAGGAAGCAATAAAAATACAATAAAAAAATCAATATGAATAGCCAATGTGATGAATATGCCATCGCCCACCCTTCAACCACATAGTCATAGAAATGTCACAGACCACCTCAGTGAAGCTTGCAGGCCACTGGTGGTCCACAGACCTCAGTTGGAGAATCCCTGCTGTACAATGTATAAGCTTATTTAAATGCGATTTACCAATTTGCTTTTGAAATTTGCTTTAACCGAGGATTAAAAAGAAGACCCCTTAATTAATGGGCAGTAAACCTGCCCCAAAGCACTTTGCTGGTCTTTAGCCATTCCCTCTTTTTCTCTCTCTTTCAGAGCAATTCTCAGACTGAGCAGATCTGCCTGGGGGAATCATCAGAAATAGAAGATGAGTACAAGAAAGAAAGAGGACTGACTGAATGGGCAGGCGGAGGGGTGGTGGAGGAGGAGCAACGTACATCTTTAGAGTAAGTTCTCATGCTGCCATTTTTTCTCCAGCCTCTTTCTGGAAAAGCACCTAGGGAAAAGGAAAAGCCAATAGAGCAAAAGCCCCATCGACACACAGCAGCACCCATGCAGAGGCTGCTGTTTTGAGCTTCTGATTCTATACCTGTTGGTGCTGAATGTGCACCGGAGGTTGCGCAAGTCTCTCTACGTTGCCATTCGTGCCTGTTGGAGGGAAGCATTTTTCAGTTGTTTATATCCAAGTCTCCTTTTAAAAACTGGTGTCTGCTTTTTGAACTGGGTGTGTTCTCTCAGTTCCTTTTACTGCGTTTCATGTGCTTGTGTGTGTGTGTGGTGCTTTCTTCAGCAGCAGAAGAATGGCGCATTCGAACCTTTGCTTGTAGCAGCAGGAGGCGGAGGGAAGGCTTACATGAAATATCAGGATGGCTCCCTGGATGATATGTTCCTGGAACAGTATGTGAACAGCACAGCAGTCCCTGGAGTCAGTGGGAGGACTGGGGCAGCAGGTGAGGCTCTATAGCTTATAATATATGTTAGATTTCACAGCTAAACAAACCACGTCTGCAGTTTTTGGAGACCCCACCAACCTCAGCCTGCTCTTAACCAGCCACCACCTGCCTGCTTTCCTGTGGCAGGAGGCCCCTAGAATTGATGTTGGAGGCATAGACATTCTTTACTGTACTTACGTTTCACTACCTTTGCTAGCGTAAACTAGTGGATCTATCATTCCAGGGAATCACTGCAAACTTCCTTTTTAAACAACAGAAATTTTAACCACTCAGGTATTTAAATCTACTCCATGCTTACAACATGAGGTAAAGGTAAAGGACCCCTGGATGGTTAAGTCCAGTCAAAGGCAACTATGGGGTTTTGGCGCTCACCTCAGTTCAGGTTGAGGGAGCCAGCGTTTGTCCACAGACAGCGTTCCAGGTCTTGTGGCCAGCATGACTAAATGGCTTCTGGTGCAATGGAACACCGTGACAGAAACCAGAGCGCATGGAAACGATGTTTCCCTTCCCACTGCAGTGATACCCATTTATCTACTTGCACTGGCGGGCTTTCAAACTGCTAGGTTGGCAGGAGCTGGGACAGGAGCAACGGAGCTCACCCCATCACGGGGATTTGAACCACCGACCTTCCAATCGGCAAGGCCAAGAGGCCCAGTGGTTTAGACCACAGCGCCACCCGTGTCCCTCAACTTTTGTATCATGGTTCCAAAGCAGTGGTTTTCTTAGGTGGGGAGAATGTCCCCATACAGGCATACCCATGTATCCCTGAAATACATCCCTGGTCCAGTCATGTATAAGAACAACAGAACTGCTGTTAGAATTTTCTTTTGTGACCTTTGGGAAAGTGGCATAGCTTGGTGGCTATTGAATGCAGAAGACCCTGGGTTAAGTTCCCTGCCATCCTAGGTAGGCCTGGGACAGACTCTGTGTCTGAATGCCCAGGAAAACCACTGCCAGCCAGTGGTAGACAGTTCTGCGCTTGATTGATCTGTGGTCTGACTCAGTATATGGAGATTCGAACCGCCAACCTTCCGACCGGCAAGCCCAAGAGGCTCAGTGGTTTAGACCACCCAGGTCACATTATTGTATCACAAAGTGATGTGTGTTATCAGCATGTAATGACAAAGTATTTGAAAGCTGTTTGTGGAATGGAATTCCACTTGCATTTATAAAAGATTTAACCTATGATGCCAGTGTCTGCCTGTGAAAGTTGTGTTCTTACTTTTAACGCACTCTCCTCTGTGTGCTTGTTATAGGTGGAGGTGGTGGCTGGGAAGATATCACAAAATTTCCTTGGGCTGGGGAAATCACTTCTGGAGGGTGGAGAAGGTGGCGAGGCCCTGCCAGCAAGCTTATGAGAAACTTCAGTGGGCCACCTCAGGTGGTTTGGCGGAGGAAGGAGGAGCTTGTACATCTGGTGGAGGAGGTGGAGGCTACAAAGGTATGCTAGACTATTTTGAACTTTCCTCTATCTGGTGCTGCCAGAATGATTTGGACTACAACTCCCATCAGCCCTAGTCAGCATGGCCAACGGTCAGAGATGATGGGAGTTGTAGTCCAACAACATATGGCTGGGGGAAGTTTGGGCTATACCTTAATTTCAGTGTGTGCCAGATTGAATTAATCATTTCATTCAATGGAAGTTTGAAGTAGCCAAAGACTAGGAAAAATCAGTGAACACACAAAATGGTGCCTCAAGAAGGTGTGATGCAGATATTATTCTCATACCTCTACATGGACAATAATCTTCAAATCTACAAGCTTCGCCTCAGTGTTTGCTGCTGTCCTGGTGAACGGTACACGTAGAGCAGTATCCTTTCCATTTCTGACAAGCAGGCAAGTGTGGTGTTCTGGATTGTGTACAAATGAAAACCCTCACCATGGAAACGGGGGTATTGCAATAAATTTGGTAATCATTTGTAACTCTCTACCTTTGCCCTAGAAGCAATGATTTGGGGGGTTAGAATGGGAGTATAGCACGATATTGAGTGAAGTGCTGAACAACAGTGATGTGCCTGTTTCCTGGTTGCAGAACTGCAGATTGCAGAACTGCCGTGCCTCAGCAGCACTAAAAGGCCTTGTGTGGAAAGCATCAGTAACATGTCAATACTAAAACAGTATTGGTATAAACTGGCAACCCGCCAATCCTTCCATTTGCACATGTGGTTTTCTTTGCCTAGGTGGCCACGCCTCTGAAGCTGATGACATCACAGCTGATGGACGGCATGGTGTTTCCTTTGTGAATCCAGCTGGGGAAGTCTTCCTGGGTCCCTTGGCAGGTGAGATGCAATCCACTTCTTTTAGCACCCTCCCACCCGTTGTTGTGTGCTCTTTCTCAATTCTCTTGTTTCTGCAGTGTACATTCCTCGCCCACATACCCAATTAGTATCTCTTGTTTTAGGGCGCAGAGGACTTTTTTAAGGAGGCTTAGTTTGGTCAGAATGGAGTATACACTTTCATAGTTACCATTAAATATGTTACTTCTGATAAATGAGCCACCATAGCTGCTAGAAGACTGTGAGAATTTATGTCCCGGGCTTTTTAGAATCATCTAAGGGGGGCACTGTGGTCTATGCCACTGAACCTCTTGGGCTTGCCGATCAGAAGGTCGGCAGTTCAAATCCCCACGATGGAGTGAGCTCTGTTGCTTGTCCCAGCTTTTGCCAACCTAGCAGTTTGAAAGCACGCCAGTGCAAGTAGATAAATAGGTATCCGCTGTGGCAAGAAGGTAAACGGCATTTCCGTGCACTCTGGTTTCCATCATGGTGTTCTGTTGCTCCAGAAGCAGTTTAGTCCTGCTGGCCACATGACCCGGAAAGCTGTCTGTGGACAAAACATCGGCTCCCTCGGCCTGAAAGCCAGATGAGCACTAAACCCCATAGTTGCCTTTGACTGGACTTAACCATCTAGGGGTCCTTTATCTTTACCCATGCACTATCCAGATCCAAAGGGACATATTAGTTGCCAGATGTGAAATATATTGACATTATTTTTAGCTCTCCTACCCCACAAGGTATATGGGAAGCGGGTGGCGCTGTGGGTTAAACCACAGAGCCTAGGGCTTGCTGATCAGCAGGTCGGCTGTTTGAATCCCTGCGATGGGGTGAGCTCCCGTTGTTCGGGCCCTGCTCCTGCCCACCTAGCAGTTTGAAAGCACGTCAAAGTGCAAGTAGATAAATAGGTACCGCTCCAGCAGGAAGATAAACGGCGTTTCCATGTGCTGCTCTGGTTTGCCAGAAGCAGCTTAGTCATGCTGGCCACCATGACCCGGAAGCTGTACACTGGCTCCCTCGGCCAATAAACGAGATGAGCGCCGCAACCCTAGAGTTGTCTGCGACTGAACCTAATGGTCAGGGGTCCCTTTACCGTACCCCACTAGGTAGGAGGTACAGAATAGATAAGGGGGTATAACAAGGAAGTTCTCAAAAGTCACTATCTGCCCTTCCTTGGGGAATGACAGCTGCATCATCTAGTCTGAGATGTGAGCTTAGGAAAAATCTAAACTCTAGTGTGTATCCATTTCCTTCTCATTTAGTTATGGAGAGTCATGGCGAGGTGGAGATTGATATCTACGTGAATTGCAGCCACTGCCAGTCAGGTATCTGCAAGCTGGCTCCTGACGCCCACCTGCCCATCTGTATTTGTGCAGTCGGGGCCATCTTGGCCAGTGACAATGTATCATGCACAGGTAAAACGTGGAACATCCTCCCAATATATATAAAAATAATCCTTTCTTTGCTTTTTCCTAGCCTTATACCATGAACCAGGGGAAGGGACATAGCTCAGTGGTAGGACTGGGAGCGAGCCCTGTCTGAAATCCTAGACAGCCACAGCCATTCATTGTAGACAATACTGAGGTAGATTTTCTAGGGACGCGGGTGGTGCTGTGGTCTAAACCACTGAGCCTCTTGGGCTTGCTGATAAGAAGTTCAGTGGTTTGAATTCCTGCGATGGAGTGAGCTCCTGTTGCTCTGTCCCAGCTTCTGCCAACCTAGCAGTTTGAAAGCACACCAGTGCAAGTAGATAAATAGGTACCGCTGCTGCAGGAAGGTAAATGGCATTTCCGTGCACTCTGGCTTCCATCACGGTGTTCTGTTGCACCAGAAGCAGTTTAGTCATGCTGGTCACATGACCCGGAAAGCTGTCTGTGGACAAATGCTGGCTCCCTCGGCCTGAAAGCGAGTTGAGCGCCACACAGCCCCGACTGGTTGCCTTTGACTGGACTTAACCTAGATTGTTTTC